GCTCTTTTTATGAATTTCATGTGCTCAGAGCAAAATTTCCACATTAATCCAAGCAAAATTATGTTTTATGAAAATGGGAAATTCATAGACTGAGGGTTTTTAGACTATAAACGGATCGTGAATTAGAGCTGTAGTCATCCCAAGTCACGTAAGCCGATTTATCGTAGTCACGTAAGTTGTGTAAGGACTGATATGTGAATTGTATTATAATGATGACATCACCTGATACCACTTAGTTTCATTTCATAATTTTCTTTTTCACTTTACTGCTTCTCGTTATTTGCTATTATTCTTCTCTTTCTTATCTTTGATTTTTTTCTCTTCATTTATTATTCAGGCTGTGGACCGACAGTTCTGCCCAGCTTCAGCCTACCAGTTAACATGGTAACTCCTGGCTTACTAATCTCATCCCTGCCAGGTACTGTCTTATCCTCTAATCCCAACTCTTGTGCTGGCATTGGTGGTTCAATCGGTGGGGCTGGCGTCACTAGCGCTTGTGGTATTGGGACCGGAGGCAGTCCCGGTCTGCCAGGCGTAGGCATTGGGGGCGCTTCTGGTCTTGCTTTAGCAATACAATCTCCAGTCGTAGGGGTCGTTTCCTCCAACGCTATTGGAAATGTAGGTCTCGTTAGCGGTTCCACACCTCAGGTGATGGTTGGTACCGGAACAGCCAGTCTCATACTTCCTGCCAATTCTGTCCAGTCGGCTACGAATTTGCCTCTTGTGGCCCAACAGCAACCGCCATCATTGCAAATGCCTCCTCAGGGGCCACCCCCTGGCCCTCAAATGCGTGATCTCGATCTGGCCTGCATGGAGGCTGTGGCGGCATTACTAAAAGGCATGCCGTTGCAGCCAGAGGAGACTGACCGTGGTGATCTCATGGACGCCAAGTCACATTTATTCGCTAAGTAGGTGCTCACTTCATTCATATTTCTATCTTAAACTTATTCTTTGCTTTGTCTCTCGCTTAAAATACTTTATAGTAAATTTATGCCAATCTCTTCAGGAAAGGGTATATATCTTGCTATTATATTTATCTATTTTCAATAATTTTTCACAGTTTTACCTTGAGCTCTTGGGCCATGTACTAATTTTATCTATGAGTATACGCTAAACTATTATGTTTCTTTTTTCATAAGCTCAATTACTTTGCAATTGTTGATCCACCATTAATTTTTTTCTGTATCTGAGGTTTAATTTTTTGTATCGTATAAAGATGATGTGCCCTTTTGTATGATTGCATTCTCCTTTAGCTTTATAGTGTTTGCTTAACCTTGTTTTCGCAACTTGCTCGGAGAATCAGGGAGACCTTGTGGAACATATCTAGTCTTGTGTCCTCCATCATAGTATTCGTGATTTCCAACATCAAGCCATTGACTTTGAACCTTCCCAGACGCTTCACCGGCATCGTAGTCGGCATTGACAGCGAGAGGTATCATCGTTAGCACAGGGTCACAATTTATTAGTGACAAGTGGAGACAATACCCTTGAAAATTTTATTCTTCAACTGTTGTGGCATCACTCCCTGCCCTCATTCTTTGTCCTTCCTTTTGGTGCTGTATCTCTTTCTTTCGATCCCTATTCTTTACTCTCGTTTCCTCCAATGTCGCCTGAGAATTTGTCGCTATAAGTTAATCTAGTGAAACGTGATTACGTTCGCCACCTGTTTCTGATGTATTTTGCAGGACTTATGGGTCATGGCTTCTTACTTTCATTTAGCCTCCTTTTTCCATCCCTCTTATCAATTGGTCACTGTTACATATCAAAATCACTGGTTATCTGAAATCTAGCTGCCTATGAGTCTTCAATTCCCATCCCCGTCTACTTCACATATTCGTGATGCCCATACCTAGGAATCTTCCTTTCCCTAGAATTCATACTCATCTTTCTCCTATCCCCCCCTCTTTGTATCTCATTCTTTGTTGCCATGTTTCCGGTCTCTTTACTTCGGGGTCCATGTCCGGCTGTGTCTTGTGTTTATTTAATTGTTAGCGCTTATCCTTTTGCAAGAATTTAGACGTTTTTCATCGACATTGGGTTTAATAAGGTTTTTATAAATTCCTTGAGTATTTGAAGGTAAGACCACGTGGGTATGGCCTCTATTTATTTCGCAGTCCTCTTTCGCTTTATTGAATTGGTCCGACCTCGTATTATCAACTTGGTAATGTTGCAAGGACGACCTCAACCATGGGCATACACGGGAAATTATCATGATTACTGTAACAGATAATTAAGGATAAGCTGCATTTATTGAGATCCCTCTGACAAACGACAATGCTACGAACACGGGGTCAAAACAGTCCCATCTTTTATGTTATTTTGCTCAGTATCAAATTGATCATTGATGTTATTTTACGATTATGCCACTTTCTACAAAATTGTCTTTTGGAGGCTAATGAATATAGCCAGGATATTCAAGGATTATTTTTGGTGTATTAAAAAAATCTTTTAGGTATCATTTCATGTTTCGAATATTTAATTAAGTTTACTCTTCACTCATGATTATTTTCACCGCAGTTTATATGGACAATCTCATTTTCTAGTCTATTTAGTACGAATGAAAGGAATATTTTTGGCAGTTGTTCAGGCTCTCGTACCACTCCTTTTTCTTTTATTGTCCCTAACTGCTTTTTGGCTAAAGGCTGCAGAGATTCATATCCACTGGAGTTGACACATCTTCGATATATCTCTATTGAAGTAACCAAATCTAACGGAACTGAGTGCTATTTACCCTTTTTATAACGTCCTTCATTTAATAGCTTTAATCTATTAGAAGTACTTCCAATGTGAAACTATCTTATTTTATTGAATTTGCAGATTAAGCCCCTGGTTTATCCACAAACTTTGCTACACAAACAAACTGCTGAGCTGTATCTGGCCCAATTCTAACCTTATTTATCTTAAATTGCATTCCCTCTATCCTTTGGCTAGGTACTTTACCCTGTTTATGAATCTTCTCAACGATGTTGCTGACGATCGTGACATGCGTGCGGAACTAAGGCGTAACAACTCTGCCCTACGCAATGTCACGGTGTTGGCCATGTCGAATCTTTTAAATGCCAACATCGATTCAGGCTTAGTGCATGCTATTGGTAAGCTTACCTATCTTTGTCTACAGACTTGTTCGAGGTCAACTGATCGGTCATCTGAATGTTGTTGAAAAGTGGCCTTAAATATAGCTAAATTTGCCACTGTCGTAGAAATTTCACTAATGACCTTTTATTATTTCAGTGAATCTTCCCCTTCCAATATAGTTTATTAAGTGTATATTTTTATATTTTAGGCTGTATTCACCATATTTCTCTTTAAGTGGGCTAGTAGTTGAATTTTCACATAATGATATGAATAAGCCTAATGTTTATCTTAAATTTCACATGGCATTGCTTCACAAAAGGTTTTCTCATTCATGGTAGAATATAGTTCCTACCTCGCCTCGACCTCATCAATACCCCCACCGGGACTCGAACCCTGGATAGTGCAGAGTGTAGTTTCGACAAGTTGATCATTACGCAACAAAGTCACGAGTCAACTTGTGCTACAGGGTAGAAGTGAATTTCAAGGAAGCCTAGGCCTTTCGAGTATCACATTATATCAGAGCTGTTGGTAAGCTAGAAAACCTAGGTGTAAAATGTAGACAAGTGAAGTTACAAGAGAAAATTGAATATATGTATGTATGTGTGTGTGTCTATTTGTGTATGTATTGCGCAAACACGAAGGAAATATGGTGAATACATTTTTTATGTGAAATTGTGATGCCTTATGAATAGTTAAGCGTAAAATTTAAGCGATATGTATGAAGACCAAGATGGTGTGGCCTTTTGTGTGGTCAGAGTCTCCTTTCGTTGTATGGAGGTTGTTTGACCTTGCTTTCGCAACATGATCATATTGGTAGGTAGACTTATTGGAACGCACCTAGTCCGGGTTCCATTGTTTGCATGATCATTTCCAAAGTTGAACCGTGGATGTGGTACATTCCCACGTCCATGGTTCAACTTTGGAAATGATTATGCAGAGAATGGACCCCGGACTAGGTGCACTCCATTAAGTCTTCCTACCAATATGACCATGTTGCGAAAACAAGGTCAAACAACCTTTGAGCGATATAGTTATTCATTATCTATATTAAGAAAATGCAGGCTTCGAAGAATCTCTTAATATAAGATTAGTGTGAAGGCTTTCATTCCGTATTGACATACATTATGAAGAGATTCGTAGGTCAATCTTACCAGGTGTCGGCTGATTCGCGTTGTACTGCATCCATTGGGCCTTAATACGACGTTCAGGTTGATGCAGTCCACGAGACGTTTTGGGCAAAGACGAATTGAGCTTTCGTTCTTCACGTGACGTACATCGTAACAACTGCGACTTATTCTTTCAAAGTCTTAAGTTAATACCTATTCAAGTAGACAAACTGGCCTTTTTTCATATGATATATATACACATTGCGAGCAAAATTTAGGATTTAGATGGATATAGAAAAGTTTAGTTAATTCACTTATACTTGAATGTGTCTGAGTGTTCATATATGCTAAGGTATGTAGGCAAAACCGTTCATAACGCGGAGTAATTAGTAAAAAAAGCTTGATGTTAGCCCCGGGTCATCAAGGCTTGATGACCCAAGGAAAAAAATAAAATGTAAAAGGAGGATCAAGCTTACCTTATTTCGTAAGTAATCTGGTTAAATTTATGAGGTGTAAGTCTGTACTCGTGAAAGTCAGATTACGAAACCCCTAGTCCGAACCCGTTAGTCTGGGTTATCAAATTTTAATGACCCAAGAAGAGGCTTGGCTGGGATCGCGTATCTCCATACGTCTGTTTTGGCTTGTGAGCTTCACATGCCTGTTGAACGAGTATTAACTTGGTTCGAACCATCACTCGGCTAACAAATTGAGTCGCCTTCTTTTAGACGGTGGCTCAGCACCTTCTCTCTCCTTCAATCTGTAACGCATAAGTAATTCCTACTCAAATTTCTATCACCATTCCTCACATTCAACGTATTCTCTAATCTATTACTTTCAGTATCCTCTCTTATCTTGCATTTCGTAACAGGCATAATAATCAGCTAACATATGCGTACCAGGCCGTTCTATTTCATGCTCAGTCTCCTTCATGCGTTCCTCCACTTGTTACCATTCGACTTAGCTGCCTTAACAAGCATTTTTGTGCTCCGCGGAAAAACTGTCTTTATCCCCCATTTTCTCACTAGTTCTCCTATCTTCTTGGAAAGTAGACATGACGGCTAGGCTAGAACATGCGAAAGGGTCTCGGTTTGTTTCTCTCTGACCAAATAATCTCTGCCTGAAAATTTATTCCTCAGTTAAGATATATTATTATCAATTAAGCCCAAAGGATAATTATTCTCTAGGAATACAAAAATGCTTGTAATGTCAGCTGAGTCGAACAGTCAGAAGTGGCGGAGCACATGACGGAGACTGGGCATGAGATAGAAGTCTCGTACGCAGAGCTCTGCTGTTAAAAGAAAGATAAGAGGCTATTGAAACTGAAAGATTACGGAATACGTTGAATTTGAGAAATGGTAGTAGAAATTTGAGTAAGAATTACTTATAATTGATTGAAGGATTGAGGTAGAGAGAGTGTGTGTTGAGCCGTCGTCGAAAAAAAGACGACTTACTTTGTCAGCTCAGTGATAGTTCTAACCAAGTTAAAACTCGTTGAACAGTCATGTGAGGTTCAACGGCCGAAATGGACGTGCAGAGCTACGCAATCCCTGCCAAGGTTCTTTAAAACTTATTTAAACTTTGTAGATACGAAGAGTAGGTGGGTTTCGATTAATCTCCTGAGATAATAATGCTGAAAGGACTTTCATTTCGTATGAAAGTGCATGAATAAGAGATTCGCATGTTGATCTCGCCAGAAGAGGATAACTCAATCCAATTGTGCTGCAGCCGTTTATTTTATACGATGTTCAGGTTGACGCAGTCCACGAGATATCGTCCCTTGCTTCGAGTGTGAACGGACTGGCCTTTCATCCATCATATGATGGACATCAGAGCTAGAACTGATTCTTGTAAAAGTTTCACTGTAACGTCTATTCGACTCTATCTTACCTCTTATCTAGACTTGACTAAGCAAAATGAAATTAAAAAAACATAGAGGTTTTTGACTTTGTTTTCGCAACTTGGTCATATTGGTAGAAAGACTTAGAGGAACGCACCTAGTCCGGAGTCCATTGTCTGCATGATCATTTTCAAAGTTGAACCGCGGACGTGGCACATTCCCAAACGTTTCGCCGGCATCGTCGACATCGTCAGTGAGTATCGCCATTCTTAGCACCATACAAGAACTCGTCAAAGAGATTAGTGAAGCCGAACCTTTGATCAAACATCTGCTAAACAATTTTGGTATATCCCCTTCTGCCCTGGGCTATTCGCGTTTCCGGTATCATACTATCATGCCTTCACTATTAGAATTTTTACGGAGTTTATTTAGATATAGTGTGGTCTGCTCCTTTGAGCGACATGAAATCTTCACACTCTCACCCTCCCATTCATCCTTTTGCATGGAATGTTGATCAAAGTCAGCTTTATTATTATGCAGTCCTCTTATCTAGTCATATCCAAGTCTCTTTCTTGCTCCGTAAAGTCAGTCTGCTCTACCCATTGTTAACCTATTTAACTCGATTACTGTCACTACATCCGTCTTACTCGCGGCGCTATTCGCCCTCCCCTGCGTCTGAGTGGCTACTTCGAGGCGCAAGCCTCTGAGTGTCATGGTCACCCCTTTACTACATGTAGCACGTCTCTGGTACATCAGAC